TTCGCTCAAAGCTACAAGAGGGTTATCTGCGCTAGCGTCCCTAATTTAGCAGTGTAAGACCAGAGGGAAGGCAGCTAGTCGTCACCACCCACCGCCAACTCTTAGGCTACTCTTTTACCAACGAATAGTGGGATTGACCGTCACATTATAACGCCCCCACGGCTGAAAGGACGAGCATGTTTGATGCGAAGGGGATTCGAACTCGCCTGTATGGGCTACTTACTGCAAGATGAAGAAGAGACTCGAGGTGTTCCTTAAAGAGGTATAGGTCCCCACCCACCTTTCCCGAGACCTGGCATCATAATGTTTGATTCAGTTTTCTACAGGTAATCACTGAACTCTGTACCGGTTTCTTAAAAAATATATCAAACAAATAATATTCACTCGGAATTCTAAAAAAAAAATGGTTGTGAATTTTGGCAGAATTTTACTCTTGACGGGAAATTTATCATATTACCCTGCAAGCTGATGAAATTTGGTGAAAAATATATATTATATCCTACGGCGGAGTTATTACAAATCAAATTATATCCATTGTGACAGTTGTGTGTATATCGTCACTGTCTGTTTTATTTTATTCAGTGTCATACATTTATTTTTATAACTTTTTTTCCCGTCATTTCCACTGAAGTGAATCGTTTTTATCACTGATCATTAGGGCATTTGTGAAACATTTTACATTGAAGTGAGTCATTTTTATCACTGGTGGTTAGGGCATTTGATGAAACATTTTACATTGAAGTGAGTCATTTTTATCACTGATCATTAGGGCATTTGATGAAACATTTTACATTGAAGTGAATCGTTTTTGTCACTGATGATTAGGGCATTTGATGAAACATTTTACATTGAAGTGAGTCGTTTTTATCACTGATCATTAGGGCATTTGTGAAACATTTTACATTGAAGTGAGTCATTTTTATCACTGGTGGTTAGGGCATTTGATGAAACATTTTACATTGAAGTGAATCGTTTTTGTCACTGGTGATTAGGGCATTTGATGAAACATTTTACGTTGAAGTGAGTCGTTTTTATCACTGATGATTAGAGCATTTGATGAGACATTTTACATTGAAGTGAGTCGTTTGTATCACTGATGATTAGGGCATTTGACGAAACATTACTTCTCTCTGTAGTTTTTATTTTTTCACAGTTCAGTATGTAAGTTTATTGAAGATGTAGCATCAATGTTGTAGCATTTCACATTCATCTTTTGTGTAGCACGTGCTACTTACCATCCCTCTATCGGTAGCAGGACTGACCATCTATGTAGCAGATAAATATTTTTTTTGGACTCTTATTTGATATTATGTTATTGTACTTTTTGTGTTAAAACTGTTAATTATAAGTTAAAGAACCAGTATTTTCAGGTACTAGTATTAAGTTTTAAGATTCGGAAGAAGACCCTGAGATAAGTATAATGAACAGTAACATTTTGTCTATATGATAAATAATGAAGTATATACCTTTATTTCAGTTTTTATAAATTACCCTGTAGGTGCTCTGCCTGTAATAACAACATCTTTAGAAAAGTGACTTATCAGACAGGTGGCAGCACTGCCTATGTATCGATGGCTCGGATTGTTCATCAAAATGATATTTTAAATATCTCCTCAATAGTATCATCAGAACTTTACAATACTATACACTGTTTCATTTTATAGCAATATCTGTGTAATGACTGAGTCACAAGTTCTGGGAATGTCTGTAAATATCAAAACGAAAAGTTTGACTTTTTTGTTCTTTCTTCTGACCAAAACAATAGTGTCAGTCACTGAGATGACATATTTTCAAACGGAGTTTTCGCTTTTATAAATGTTATTGATAACTTGTAATATTTTTTTTAATCACAATTCTAGTGTAAACGATGTGATCATTATCCCTTGAAGTTAGCTTCTTTACGTAAATTGGATGTTCATTTAAAAAGCTTAAGTACAGGGTGAAACAGGAATTAGCAGCCAATAATAGATAAACAATAAATATTACAGTTGGAATCTCATTTTATTTAGAACTTGGTTATAAATACAATATTCTTATGTCTATTGAAACATTGCATTGAACAAACAAGCAAACAATGTAATCAAGATAGTAGGGATGGCATTTGTATAATCCTTACATAATTACACAAGCAAGAATTAACATAAATAACTGTCCAATCACAACCGAGTAGAGTTTATCCTATTTTTGTCTGTTAACGTTCTACTACACTGTGTGCCCGTGAATTGGATTGAGATATATATCCAAATATAATAGGACGTTATGTTTTAATGAAACACAGCATTTATCACTTTCAACTGTGGTATTTAAGTGTGTTATTAAACAAGCTTTAGTTCTGTTATAGGTTCATTTGTTTTAACCTTTTTACATTTAAAACATGGTAGAAATTTACAAACAGGTCAAAGGATCGTCTTGTTCCTCCTTTATCTGAAACTTAAAAGTAACATAGAGAAACGATACAATAAGATAAGAATTGATAGAAGAAAAATAGCTAACAGGAGCAGTAGATATATAACGATTGTATCTTGAAAACAGGTTATGTTATTTGGAACAGTAAGTGATGTATTCAGTTTTGGGTTATGGAACCATTGTTTGTGATATAAGATAACTCTCTCTTGACTCCGGTAGAAGTCTGGTAAATTATAACATATTCCTAGACTCTAACTAGTTATACGATAGTATGTTCCTAGACTCTAACTAGTTATACGATAGTATGTTCCTAGACTCCAACTAGTTATATGATAGTATGTTCCTAGACTCGTTATATGATAGTATGTTCCTAGACTTCAACTCGTTATATGATAGTATGTTCCTAGACTCCAACTCGTTATATGATAGTATGTTCCTAGACTCCAACTAGTTATATGATAGTATGTTCCTAGACTCGTTATATGATAGTATGTTCCTAGACTCCAACTCGCTATATGATAGTATGTTTCTAGACGTCAACTC